GTAAATGTTTTAGATTAATTAAGGAATCCAAATAAATATGGATGTTGTACTACCCTTAAAAGTTATGGAACACAACTTAAGTGAGTTGATCAAGCTTAATGATATGTCAGTACCTGATTTGCACAGATATTACTTGAATGAGTATTCGTCTACTCAAGTTTGGCTTGATGATAATTTTGGAAGTATTCAGCTCAGCTCAACTCTAGATCGCATTCAGCACTAAGAATTGGATATTTGTTCGACAAATCAACCACGAAGACCGAAATGAATTGAACGTAAGTACAATATGTATCCGAAATTCAGAGACATCCAAATTAATCTGTAAAACTCCGAAGTAACTGGAATGGATTTGACTGCTAAATGAACTAGGTAACCTCAATGACTGAGGATTTAGTAAGTGATTTGGATAAGTCTGGAAACTCTGATGAGTTTACATAGTGTATAATTACTATGGGTTATAAACCAAAAATCAAGAACGTCAGCATTTCATGATATCGTTGAAGCGTGGAAATGAAATAAAGACCCTTGGAAGACCCATTCGGTGATGACTCCAAAGATGATTTATGGACATTAATTGTTGTTATTAAAGAGTGAATATTTGAAGGACAAAGAATGAACCGGTCAACAAGCATTAGTTCTGGGAGTTGTTCAGCTTGAGTTATTTCGATAATCCGATAGATCGACATAGACTGTAAATGTCTTGAACCTTCATTTCTTCCTTATCAGCTGAAGTCTCATTCTGAATAATTGATGATTCTGTCAGTTATTGAACTCTTCCAATAGTGATTCTAAATTCTGACATTCTATCGGTATATTGAAGATTCATGTTTCTCTGCCGATAAAATTATCTAGTATCTCTGAATAATATCTGTAAACACTAGTGTGTTCCCTAATCACACGAATGTTTTATTTGATTTCTGATTTGAATTCTGTTCTGATTTCTGATCTGAGTTCTGTTCTGGTTTTTTATCTGAATTCTGTTATGATATCTGATCTGAATTATGTTTTGATTTTCAATATCTCTGTTTACTGATAGAAAAATGTTTTAATTGGGGGTATTGTTGAAGGAAGTATTTCTGCAGGTTCCTCGGTTTTGTGCTGAAGGCCTTACAGGTTGTGTGGGTTGGGTGTATGGTTCTGGGGAACCTACACAAACAAATTGTGAAAGGATGGGGGTAGTGTTATGTTTAAAAATATATTTTTAAAGATTTGTATCTTTTTACTGTTTTGCGAGAACACACTATATAACCTATTCTGATCTCCTGAACCTAAACATCCGAAATATTTTCATATGAACTGAATAATATCTGTTACTACCTGAAATATCAATGGGACCTCAGCTCAGCCTAAAAATCTGTAGATATCTGAACCAATAAGGAAATATATGTTTATCTGTATACGTGCGTTCTTTAGCATTATCTGGTAGTTTTGTATTACTGAGCTTTCTGAAGCTCACTCTACTACCCATCATTGCAGGTTAAAAGAATTGTACCAGTGCAGTTATCAACTTCAGTAAGAAAGTTATTCCGGCATTGTTTGTAGAGTATGGTACATGTTATTAGGGGGCATGTAATTGTATTTTGTTTTATATACGAGTCTGAAAATCTGTTTGATTTCTAAATACTGATAAATTATTTTATAAGTTTACATGTTCTGATAAAAAGTTATAAATTTTTTGAGATTTTATAGTGGGTCACTCCGGTGGCCCTAATGTGACTTCCTAGATCAGATCGGGTTACCCGCATCGGTCTGAGGGGGTTACATATGATCACTTGTTTTGTAATGCATAACTTGGATTGGTTCTCTTATGATTGTATACATCATATATTATATCATATAGAAGTATGTATGGGTTATATACGTACTCATTATGATTATAACTTATGCATGTACCTGAATATGAAATCATGAAATCAAATATAGAAAATAGACTAATCACAAGTCTTATTCCCATAAAACAATATCTATACTAACATGATATACACTCATCTTAGCCTCACTTGATTCAAATAAATTCCTAGAGTTGTATCTCTCTCTTGACCGCTCTAATTCTTTGATTGTTCCGGAACGGGTTAACGTTCAATATCTACATAACTATATATTTATACATATCAGTATTCCAAATAGCATACTCTGATTTTTCATTTCTTAAACTAAAGGAAATGAGAAATTTCATTTTCTATTTGAAGTAGTATCGGTACCCCCTATAGGGTATCGATACTTCCCTAACTGTGGTATCGGTACCATACCTAGGTATCGATACCCATATTGCATTCTGTAATTGTTGTTTCAAAGATGGTATCGATACCATCCTTATGGTATCGGTACCCTTTGTATCGATACTATTCTTCAGGTATCAATACCTCATGAATGTTTTCTCTATTTTACTCTTGAAGTATCGGTACCTGATGAATCAGTATCGATACCCATAACCTAGAATTCATTTTTTAAGCCCGAAAATCCATTCATATCAGCTTAAATTCTTCATGTTTCATTCCCTTTCATACTCTTAACTCACATACACATACTTAAACCCATTTGTACTCATTTATCACATCTTTATCTTCAAAATTCTATCATCTATATAGAAATCAAGAATTATACCAAATTTTCAATATGTTCTACTTTCAATTCTAACACTTTCTATTTCTTAATTAGGTTGATGACAAGTCAATTCTAGTTCCAAACTTTATTTACTAACCCTTTTTCAAGATTTCACTTATTCCCCTCTTATCTTTAATCCTTCCTAACTTCCTTATCTTTTGATTTTAAGATGACTTAAGCTTTCCTTAAGCTTAAGTATCATCTAATGATCAAAACCCATGCTTAACTTTAACTAATAATCGGCTAACAAGAAAACTCACATTTCCAATGTCCTTCATGTATGGAGGAATAAGAAGAATGAGAGAACTCTGGAAACTTTGATTTTTGCCTCCTTTTCATCCATGTGGGTTAAATATAACCATAACAAAATTTAATTATTTCCTTTACTAAATGACCATTTTATCCTTCTATTCCTCCTTCTTTGTAGTTCAATCCTACACAATATTTCCCATATAAGTCCTTGAACTATTCAATTATTCTACTTTAATCACTAAATTCTGAAGTTTTACCATTTAGTCACTAACCCGATATTGTGGATGTTACAAGTATTACCTTGATTTTCATGCCATATCGATTGACAATTTAATCCCCATCTGATCACTCTCGAACTTGAATTCAACATCCAATAATTCCTCAGATACATAGTAAATGAATTTTCGTCAGAAACTGAACTTAAATGAGAAATCATATTGAATTCGAAGGTAAAATATTGAAAAATGGCTTCCTGGTGTGAATTTGCAAAACGAACTTCATATTTGGACTAAGGACGTCGAAAAACATAAAATAAGACTTTTTTAAAAAAATAACTTTTTCGGTCAAAGTTAACGGTCAACGGGTTGACTCGATCAAAGTCAACGACTTAACTCGATGAGTTAACTTTGTGATTGGACTGAATGAGGTGGGTCGGGTCGGATCGGGCAGGCGGGTCAGCTCGACCCGGTTATGTAAAATTCCTTGGATCAAGTGGGGCGGTGCGTGACGTCGGCGGCGGGCTCGGGGTGGATGGTTGAACACTCCTTGTTCGATCCCAACATCCAATTCATCAAAAATTAATCCAACATATATTGTTAAATACCACAAACAACCGAAAAGTGACCTAACTTACCCCACCGCCGATGACTGAGGAAACAACAACAATGGATCGACCCAAGGGATGGGTTTTTTTGCGGGCTACGACAAGGAGCAAGCTAGTGCAGGCGATGAGTTATGTCGGTCACCGGTTCAGTTGAAATTTGCAAAAAACTGAGGCACACGAGGGTGTTTTCGTTGAACTCTTCAACTACTATACAGCGAACAACTTCGGTTTACGATGGGATAAGGGTCGGGTTTTGATCAGAGCAAGAAGACGGTCGTTTTGGGGGTAGCGGCGTTGGCTAAGGTGGTCAGATGGCGACGGAATCATGGGAATGAAAGTCGGCGGGGTTAGGATTTTAGGGGGAATTGGGGATTTTTGCATCTGATCAGGGGAGGGGAATTGATATTAATTTTCCCGAGAAATTGGGAAGATTTAAGGCTAAGTCCCTGAACTTCCTAGATTTCCAAAACTAACCCAAAATTTCATAAACTAATAATTTGGTCCTAATTTTCATTTATTACAACTTTAATTCGATACTTTATATTAATAAATTTTTACCCCTAAATTGTGGTGTAACAATATTAATAAATAGGCTTGACATCCATGGACATCAACTTAAGCACTTCCACCATCATTTCAATGCACTATTTCACCGAGAAACATTCTTTCGTAAATTTTTACATATTATTTGATCATTTCAATGCACTATTTCAATGGACGAAGCATTGTTGAGGTCTAAAGAAGTATCAACCCCTGTAAAAAAAATTATAGTCGATAAATTTTTATCTAATAGTATTTTAATTCATGTAAAAATAAATATTTAATTTAAAAATATAAAAAATATTAAATATTTAATTAAGTAGGGACCGAACTAAATAAAGATAATCTCATGTTCTCAAATTCTTAGTCTAAGAATATTTTAAGTCATTAAAATTTTAAATATTAGATAAATTTAACATTGTTAAATTTTGTGTTTAAATACCTAATATATCTTTATATTTTTCTTGAAAAGTTTAATATTTTGACTCATGCTAATATATAGTTATTCTGTCCCTAGTCAATAAAGGTTATAGGTTTGAGCGCATTGTTTATCGTTTATAAAATATTTAAATATTTATTAATAAATGATTAATTTTTTTTAAAAAAATACTAAATTATAATCACCTCAATTTATTAGAAAAAAGTTACCAAATTTCCTTCTCTACCTACAAATCTATTCTAAAACTGAAAAAACAAATATTTTAATTTAATTTAATTTAATTTGTAAATCTATTTCTAACCCGAACCAAACCCTAAATAAACCCCACAATCCAGCCTTGCCACCTCTATTGCATGTCCCTTCTCTCTCTCAGTTTTCGTCCTTAAATCCCAAAGCAAACCCCAAATCTTCTTCTTCAATCTATGGCAGTTGAAGCTTCGCATCTCAACCTCTTCTCTCCTCAATTCTTAGCTACCAGGTTTGCTTTTAAGATCGAAGCCCAATGCCCATAATATTTAGTCTCTTACATTTCCCTTTGTTCTTTTTCCAGGGAAATGATGATTCCTTTTGAAGCAAACGGGAATATGTTTGAAACCCGGATGGGATATGGAGTTCCATTATCGACTGCGGCGGCGACACAAGGATTGCTTCCTTCGTATAACTCTTTGGTTACCGATCAAAAGACTGTTGCACCGGCGATCAAATCGGAGAGTACTTTGACGTGCAACAATCTTCCATTGAAGCGTTCTAGAGACTTATTTCAATGGCAGCCCCATAACATCAACGATATTTCCTTTCATATGGAGCAGCAACAGTTTGATATCGATCGCCTTATCTCACAACATGTAAGCCTTTCTTTAAGGATTTAATTGTTTTCTTAATCGGTTGAAATTCAGAAAATTGCATGTTTTGAATTTGATGGGTTTTGGGGGTTTTTTTATTTGATGTAGATGGAGGAAATGAGGACGGAAATAGAAGAGAAAAGGAAGAGGCAGGCCCAGAAATTAATGGAAGCCGTTGAAGAAAGAGTAACGAAGAAACTAAGAGGAAAAGACGAGGAAATCGAGAAGATTGAGAAATTAAATTGGGCGCTTGAAGAAAGGGTGAAATCACTTTGCATAGAGAACCAAATATGGCGAGACTTGGCTCAAACCAATGAGGCCACCGCCACTGCCCTCCGGTCCAACCTAGAACAAGTCCTTGCAGCGGCGGCGCAGCAGGTTAAGGTCGGCGAGAGAAACCCTGGTGTCAGATTACAAACGACTGCCATGGCAGATGAGGTTGACGATGCACAATCATGTTGTGACAGCAGTTGGGAGGTGGAGAGACGCACGCTCTTGGGAGCGGCGGGCTCCGGCGAGAAGAATGGAGACGGCAGCAGGCTATGCCGGAACTGTGGGGAGGAGGAATCCTGTGTGTTGCTGTTACCGTGCAGGCATTTGTGCTTGTGTACCGTTTGTGGGTCTCGCCTTCTTATTTGTCCAATTTGTAAATCTCCAAAGAACGCAATCCTTCATATCAAAATGTCGTAAAATAATAATGCATGTATTTACGGCGTTTAATTATTTTTATACAATAAAATATTAAAATATAATATACAATAATAGATCTATAAATATTTTTTAGTCCATCACATGTATATATCAACAACATAAATTTTTCATCCGAGACTAATATAAATAAAATTTCAGAATAGATATTATTGATAAAATGAATAACTTCAAAAAAAAATTAAATTTCAAAATCAACATTTTTTCCCGTAAAACACAATTGCATTTGTCATTAATTTTATGTCAATTTATATTTATCTATAAAAAATATATAAATGAAAATAACATTAAAGTTTAAACTCATATCCAAGAAAATATAATTTAAGATAGTTAAGTTTTAAAATTATATAAATTATCAAATATAAATATAATTGTTAATATTTTCAATTAAATTAATGTTTAGGATTTAAATCATAACATCAATTCAATCATACGTTTAAATGTTATTATAGATATATTTCAACGAGAGAAAATGATAGAATAATACAAATAGGGTGTAGGACCCAAAGAATAAAAGTAGTAAGTGGGATTTATGCTATCGGTGAGTCGCATGATAGAACAACAGTTGGCGCATGTTAGCGAAGTGAGTTAAAAAGGCAAATCCAGAAAGGGTGTAGGACCCAAAGAAGGGCACTTACCCGACACATTAGAGAAGGAAAAAGCAAAGGCAAATAGGGGCGTAAGTTGACGCGCGCCGTAAACGGGTGGAGTCAACGGGGAAGTTAAGAGAGGGACATATGTGTACGTGAAGTTTCGAATTTATTTTTTTATTTGTATCGTATTCATCGAAAATATATTATTTTTAATATATAATCAAGTATTAAAATTTTGAATTATTATACTAATAAGGTTAGTTTAAGTAGTAAGCAGTTTGATATCGTTTATAAACAAGTCTCGAGTTCGAATATTTGTGTATGTAAAAAATCTCCGTTGAGAGACTCACTCACTAAAGTTAGGTGTGTTGTCTGGGTCGGTCTGGATTAGTCAAGGTGAAACCTTAAGAACCAGAGGACAACCAATTTTTTTTTTTGAATCATTATCCTATATACCGAAAGGAAAATTATTTAATATTAAATATTATTTAAATAAATATTTTTATAGAATCTAAATTTTATCTGAAGTATATAAAATAGTTTCACTAAAATTTTCAATCAAATAAATATTAATATAATACTAAAAATATAATAATGTGGTGAAATAAATATAAATAGTGTAACCAATAACCAATCAATTGGTCTAGTGGGATGAGACACTCGATTCCTTAAGTAAGGGCAGGGTTTCGAATCTTGGCGTTTGCATATGTAGCAAAATGGGTTGAGAGGGTCGCCCCCCATAATAGGCCTCTGCAAAATCCGATCTTGATGAGTCGGTCAATAGATCAGATACCAATGATTAATTAAAAAATATAAATAGTATATATTTATATATTATGTTCTCTTTAACCTATTATTTCATATAATGAAATAGGAAAATTGATAAGACATAAGTTAGGTATAACTATAATTGTGGTAGCCCTATTCTATCATTTCTTAGTTAGTGTGAAATGTGAATCAAAACTATGAAAATTAGGAAGAGAAAAAACAGAACCTTAGTGAGAAAAACTTGTTGATAGGGAACATATCAATGGAGAGTAGTGGGAATCAAGTTAAAAGCATAATGATTTTGATAGCTCATGTTTTTCAAATCCAATGGTAGGGTAATATTGAGCATAAAGGAAGAAGGTTGAAATCTCTAACGCCATTTCCTTTTGAAAGGTGTGGTGTGGTGGGTTTCAAAGATAAAGAATCCCACAAACCCTAAAGCAAAGAATGCATGAAACCATCATATCTTCACAATGAAGGTCCTTCCACCCCTAAGAGTGAATTTCAATGATCTTGTGCCATGACTCTACTTTTCACATTGGATTTCAACAATTTTGTGGGATAAGGCAAAAAAATTGGAGAGACTTTTTTATTGCAAAATCAATCCAACAAAAACCCACCTACTGAATGAAACATTGGAGAGAATACTAAAGATCAAACATAAAAAAAAAAAATCTTATTAACAATAATAGATTTAAGGTTCGATCGACATATGTGATTTTTATTAATCTTATTAACAATGATAGATTTACGGTTTTACCGACATATGTCTTTAGTTGTAACTTGTAACCTCCTTTAATATAACCTTATTGCATCCACTATTTTTTTCCCTAGATTGACTCTTACATTGTTGTGCAAGGGTACATATAAGCTTCTTCCAATAATTCAATATCCATGTGCTTAAGCAGTGGTGAATCCACTCTTAGTTAAGAGTGGGTATAAAATATAATTTTTTTAATTATTTATTTATTATATCGATTACACCTGTGCTCATGTCATACGAAAAGTTTATGTTACCAATATATATATGGTTTTGTGGACTCAAGTAAAAATTATTGTAATCTCCTGTCCATACCATTTAGAGGTTCTTAGGGATAACGTTAACAAACCCAACGCACTTAGTCCCCCCATTATTGTATTTGGTTAAAATCATTATGCATTGTTTTTTATCAATCTCTTTCACAAATCACTATGCATGAATGTGTACATTGTCTAAAAAGTGTTTGTAATAGTACTATCTTGTAATGGTTTGTGTAACTTTGAGGTTGAGGGAAGGGTACAAGGTACGATATCTAACAATCAATGCGATGGAATAGGATAATGTTGTACACATATAGGGCAAACTATATATCCCAAATTTCACGAGAGAGATTATGATTGAAGTAAGTTGAGATCAAATAGGTTATTCTCTTCTACAGTTGAAAAGGACAATACAATAAGATAATTGATGTAAAATGTTTTAAGATACATCAAGTTTTCGAGATTTATATATACCGAATTATAATATATACATGAACTAAGTTAGTTAAGTGGTTAGAAGAATGATTGTTGTTCTTAGAGGTCACAGGTTCGAACATCAGATACTACAGAGTATTTGAGCGTTTATTGTTAAATGATTAAAAATCTTTAGAACATAAACTATCACTTGTAAGAACCTTAGATTCATAAAAAAAAATATGAGCATGGTAGATGAAAATAGTGAAAAATATATGAGCACGGTAGATGAAGATGACAATACAAAGATCGGAAGGAAATATGGATGGTACTGTCATCCAACATCATAAATGCGTCACACATAATGTGCTGTCCCTCCGACAATTCATTAGGCAATTGCTAAAGGGGTGACCACCCATATTAATAATGGACCATCCACAGTTTTCAAGTCCCTATAAAGTCACGACTCATACATGATTAGGACACCAGTATGCTTTTCTTATACGGAGTTTCTTAATCAAATCTTAAGACACACATTAATTTACTATTAGAAATAATAAATATGATAACCGATATATACTAATATTAAAAATGTCTCTAAGAAAAACTTTGATACAACTTTAAAAGGATAAAGGGTACTATTTCTGTTTTTATGAATTCAACATATTAAATTGTTCATGATTTTTTTTTATTTAATTATCATATCTCATCTATTAATTAATTAATTTAAATTGAATATTATATATTTTCAGTACTATCGGTTAATGTTATTATCAAAACATAATATACAAAAAATCTAATCAGAATTTGGAAGCATACCTGAATTCATTGTTAGAGATTGACTAGAAGGTTGAGATTTGAAGATTGTTTTGAAGATTGAAATCTCTCAAGAAGATTTTTCATTTAAGCTAACCTTTATAAAAATTGGATATTAGGTCCATTTACTAAGTATTTATAATTTTTTCCCTTAAAAAAATACAACTTATAGTATCTACATTTTGTTTTCATGACACTTTAATATTTATGACACATGTAACATAATTGGTCACTTACTTTTGTATCATACTTTATGATAACATTATATATTATGCATATATGTAAATAATTATGGATTTTAATCTAACGACTAAAACAAAAAAATTTTGAGTGTTGTGTTAACTAACAGTAGGATTAACTATAGGGTTCAGCGTTTGATCGAGTTGCGTCAAATATTTTGACTTGATGAGTCTTATTTTATAACTTAAACTTGATATGAATCTTTTTCAAGTCCAGCCGAGTTTATAAAATTTGAGTAAAGTCGAGTTGTTCAACTTTCTGTTTAAATCTAATCGTAAATATTTGTCATATTATGATATTATTTGATTATTTAAACAGTTTTCTATATTCATATACAATACATGCATATTTTTTTTTATTTTTTTTCATATGTGATAGACATATATCATACAGAATCGAGAAGCTCGACTTAAACTTGAAAATCAATCCATTAATTACTAAAAAAATTGAGTTATTCAAATTACTAGTTCAATCATTCGAGTTCTATTTTATAACTCGAATTTAAAACTTTTTCAAGTTGAGTTTTGAAATTACAACTTGAAGTCAATTCAAATCAAAAAAATAAAATTTTCGAGTCGAGTTTTGCTCATCCATTATCGGGTACAACGTGGTACCTTGACAACATCAACATGTTCCAATTTTTCTTGTATTAACGGAAACTGGTTTCAATTATATTACAGCATGAGGATCCCTTCTTTTTCATGACACACAGGCAGCTCGAAATGAGAGGGAAAGAGGATTGTATGCAATAACATTTTCTGGCGAAATATTTATGGCAATCACCATAACGACATTGGTAACTACCTGTTGCGTTTTAAAATCATTAATTATGCTGCAAGGTAGGGTTTTTTTTTGTCTTCTTAGGCTGTCCACCAAATGGACCATGTTTAAACAGTGGGATAGTGCTCGGTTTATTCAAATCTGGTTCAGTCTTACAATGGAAACGTGGACCCGTTCTTGCCAGGCTACACATGTCCCATCCAGGGGCCCTTCATTAACACATTATTCAGAAGAAAAAGAAAATTTACATACAGAAAATGAAAAATCACATTATGCAGAAGATAAACATCAAACACTACAGTACACGTCTCCGCCTTAGTAAGACAACAAAAAGAAAAAGGGAAAAAAAAAGGGGGTAAAACTGAAGCATTGGATCCAATAATTATTTATGATCCAAACAAGTTCCACATGTACAATAAT